GCATAGGGGAGTTTACAAGAACTGGGTGTCTTTGTTAGAGACCATGCTGCCACACCAGTAGGTTGCTGGAAACCAATGTCCTGGAAATTGTTAGTAAGGCAAATTGTTGTAATTTAGAACCAGAAGTAGTAAAGTTGTATCCTGCATTTAATTATGTTCTTAGTTAACAGGATAAGCAGAACCCTGGTTAATGTTTGAGATTCATTGTTTTCCTTTGGATGCAAGAATGTAAGATGTTTTAGTTTCCATTTCTTCATTATCTTTGTTGTATGCATGGCAAGGTATTTACTTTTGTTTGTTGTACTGAAGGAACCATCCATCCATCAGTTCCTCTCTGAATTTCCTAAACAAAATAAATGGTTAAATGGCTCTTGGGTGCATGTGTTTAATGTGCACACCGGTCACCCCTGTTGACCTGAACGGTTTGATGAGGAGGAAAATGATGTGAATCATATGCTGTGGCCTTCAGTCACCAGTTCTCAACCCAGTTTAACAACCACTGAAGCTGTTTTGGCTCAACACCTTACTACTACACTTTATCTTGTTATTTTCTTTAATTTGTCAACTGTCTGGTTTATTATACATCACTGAGATGCTTTACTCCTCTACATTTATTAGGCTGCCACATCATTTACAGACCCAACACTGTTCCTCAGTCATTTTTGTTGGGTTAAGCTGTGCTAAACCTCTAAACCTTTTATGTTCCAACTATATATAGAACATACCCCTTCACCTCTCCCCACCACCTGTATAAATAAGAATGAACGTAATCTGCATACAGCAAGTGTGAGAGAGTGACACGCCCGCTGTATACGCATATAGCCTTCAATGTTCATCCTAACTAACAGATTAGGAAACCTTACTCAAATTAATACATTAATACATATTATACAACGTGAACAACTGCAGAAGAATTAAAATTCATGCACGGACCATTGTTACAGCTCCAAATTGTATCATTGTTACATTTCATCTAACCTGTTTGCTATAATTTTGCTAATAAAAGAGAGAGGGAAAATAATAAAGGAGGGTGAACAGGAAAGGAAAGAAGGTCTAAAATTTAAATGTGTAATGCTGATTATAAAAAAAAACAAAAACCTTGAAGTAAAATATTGTGATGAAATAAGATGTTTAAAGTGGTGCTGCTATTGTTGCATATTTGCAGGTTTATTTAGCCAGCAGCCTTCACTGCATACAGATGTTGTTTTCCTCTTGACAAAGCCTGTGAATTCAAACCGACCAATCGCAGTGAGCGTGCATGCAAATCAGAGCCCATGCGTCACGCTCACGTTCGACAAACGACCAATGGTTGACGAGATGGGCGGGGCCCGGAGGAAAACAGCGGAGGATTCAAACTGAACATGGCTGCGGGGAAAGATGTCGATGAAAACACTCAAAATAGAAGGTAAGACCGAATTTAGACGGATATTGATGTTTTTCTTTTTTAATGATATTTACATCGACGGAGAGTTTACTTTACTCACAGCTAAATTTGAACTTGTGAGATTTTAAGCTGGTAAACATTTACGTTAGTGAGACTGATTGACAAGGGCTGTCATCTATTTCGTCGGCACCTAACGTTAGCTAACTTAGCTGCTTAACCGTAACCGTAACAAAGCCGATAATTCACATTAACGTTAGGTTAGCTACAACTTGGTGGCAAGACATTGTTTGTAGTTATTTAAACGTTTATTTCAGAAACAAGTTGAGCGTTAGTACCGTTAGCGGAGAGATATTGATTTGGCATACACATGTGCTAACAACACATTAGCTAAATAAAATGTAGCAAGTTTAGGTTAATGGTGCAGGTTGAGGTGAGGTTGTAGTTTATCATGGGGGTGTCACAGTATCCCCCAGTGTCTACACAGAAGTGGAAGGAGATAAGGGTAATATATTGTAATATAATGACGTCCATAACAGCACCATTTTGAACAATGGGTTCAACTATTATCATAAAACTCCAAAATATGTGTTGAATTGTATTGTGTGTAACTGATTTGATGCAGACAAACTGTGAGACCTATGCCTTTGTCAAGGACAAAGAGAAATCTCAAGCAAGCACACAATAAACATATTGACTTAACACTCAAAGGACCAGGAGGATGAATTGACAAAGACATTGATTTTATGCAGATTCAAATTCTGCCATCGCTCTGTGCAATGATTCTCCTCAGTTTAGGGACTGCCTGGATAACAGTGCTCTGTCTTCCTTTTCATTTATCACATTATCACATCTGTTACATATCAGATTAATCTGATCTTTTAAGGTTTATACAGCTTTGTATATACAGTGACTTGCACTAATGGACAGTGAATTATAGTATATTATATAACCACCATTGTACTGTGTATATCCAGCGCATAGTATAGTTATATCATTATCATAAGTCTCAATTTTTTAGGCTTGGATTAATAAAGAACACTATTGCTCTACCTATTCCTAATTACTGACCTCCGGATCCTTCAAGCAGCACTTCTCAGCCTGTGGTTCTCACCTAATCATAACTTGCCTATGTTCTTCTCTCACATACAAAGAGGTAACTACATCTACAATATGTCTATTCCCTCCCACCCCAGAGGTACAGTTTGTAGTATGGTGATCAATCGTGAGGAATCCCCGGGGGGCTCTCGTGCCGGCCGACCACCAGTCATCTTCAATCCAGACTTTTTTGTGGAGAAACTCCGCCATGAGTGCCCGGACGTTTTCCTGGAGCTGGTGCTTAGTAACATTACTCGCCTAATTGATCTTCCTGGAACAGAGTTTTCCCAGCTCCTCGGTGAGGAGGGCCCTAAGACCCCGACAGGTGGAAATGGAGGCTTCTTTCGTTCTTTCAACTTCCTCAAACGCAAAGGTAAGAGGTCAGCAAGGTGACATATAGAAATTATCATTAGCCTTAACTGCCACAATTAATATGGTTCTGTTTTTGTATATACATTAATATTTGCAGCATTTGGCAGAACAGAGTATCATTAACGTCCGTAAATCCACAGCAGGTTAATGTATGACAAACATATGACATCCAACTGATATCCAGTTGTAAACTAGTAATTGTTTGTATGATCTACAAATAAAAAAAATAAAATAAAGGCTAGTCACTGTGACAAGCAAGTAAAAAACAGTTTGCCTTTTTGTGAGAGCCGTCAAGTCCTTTTCATAATTCTTTTTTTGCCATATTGCTCGTGTTCCTGCTTACTCCACTGTCTGTGTTTGCAGATTTTTGTGTAGCCTGTTTATTCATCTCAAGTACCAATGTGTTTTTTCCTGTGGTGGATGAGATCTCATCAGACTTGGTCTTTAGCGTTGTCTGTTTTTAGCCTGTGCTGCTGTGTCTGTGTTTGTGATGAGACTGTCCTACTGTAACGAGCGCGCAGCAGAGTCTCCCTGACGGGTGTTTCAGCAACTTTTAATATTATCACTCACTCTCATCTCTCCTGCTATATTCACAGATAAAGACGTTGTGTTTGGAACCCCACTGACAGAAAGCTGCATTGCCCAGATCTACCAGCTCATTGAGTACCTCAGCAAAAGTAAGTGGTCCAAATAAGATCCTCTGATTCTTTCATCATAGCTACTTTTACGAAACTTACCGCACTGCCGTTCAGAATCTAACAGCAGCACCTGCTTGCTGGTGTTGAAAAGAAACGAACAACAATGAGCAGCATCAGTCCGTTATCACAGATCAGTGTGGATAGCAGGGGCAGTGTGTGGATTAGCATGTTTTCTTTGTGTCCTAATTAACGAAAATAAACAATAAACAAATTCCAAGAATGAGTGAGCACAAAAATAAACAGACTCAACTGATTCACCCGAAGCTTGAAGTTTTACTTGCTGATCCCCACCTGCTCTTACGTTCTCAGATCTGCATGTGGAGGGTCTGTTCCGAGTGCCGGGGAACAGTGTTCGGCAGCAGGCCCTGAAGGAGCTCCTGAACAGCGGAGGTGATGTCGACCTGGAGTCTGGAGACTTTCACCCCAATGACGTGGCCACGCTGCTCAAGACTTTTCTGGGAGAGCTGCCCGAGCCCTTGCTCACACACAGACACTTCCACGCACACCTAAAGATAGCTGGTAGGAATGCACATACACATTATGCAATACTTTAATTTACAGTATGTTCTCATGTTAGAACATGAATACTGGATGGTACAAATATTTTGACTCGAATATTCTGTCAGGTTTTAGCCAAATTTATAAACAGGCATTTTAGCATAAGGTGCTACATATTTAAAAAAAAAAAACAAAAACGAAACAGTAACCCTGAAATTCATCGGTCAACATGTCAAATATGCAGAAATTTTAGTCTTTTTAAGTGCAAAAGGATGTTTTAAAAGTTTATGTCACTGAGATATGGCTAACAGGCTGGAATACTTTAGATTTTAGTAAATCCATTCATGACTTTACTTCCTCCTTCGTCACCTCTCTCCCAGATATGACTCTGTTTGACGATCAAGGCAACAAGACTGCGATACCCAACAAAGAGCGTCAAATCGAGGCGCTGCAGCTCCTCTTCCTGCTGTTACCGCAGGCCAACCGCTCACTGCTCAAACTGCTGCTGGACCTGCTCTACCACACTGCCAAGCAGCAGGACAAGAACAAGATGTCCGCCTTCAACCTGGCCCTCATGTTTGCCCCGCATGTCCTGTGGCCCAGACATGTAAGATTTGCACTTTTTAACAGGAGTTTTAAGAACCAGAGGCTGCACAATCATTTTGCCTAAATTGGGAGCACAGCTGTTTACCACAGCTAGTCATCCACCTTTTAAATTTAATTGCATTTGATCTCTTTAAACTGCCAGGAAGTACTGTCAGTTACACATTACACATTACACTAGATTAGATTGGATTAGATTAGATTAACTTTATTAATCCCACAACTGGGAAATTCACTACTTGTAGCATATGAAAGACTGCGTCTGGGCGTTGATGAAACTTACTTCAAGTGAGATTATTTTTTATCTTTCTGTCACATAGTGGTCAAAAAACTCTTTATGTGGTAAGTTGTTTCTCTGACTTCTTTTCTGTCCTGCTCCAGATGACAGCAGGTGACCTAAAGGACAACCTGAAGAAACTCAACAACAGCATGGCATTCCTCATCAAACACTCACAGAAACTCTTCAGGGTGATTATTGACCACACACACACACACACACACACACACACACACACACACACAGAAAAGGGATGTAGGTTAGTTATCCAGTATGCACTAAATCTGGAAACACTCTAAGAACCACACACAGAAACAGAAAGTTGGCCTTACAAATATAGTATGTGACTGTTTTAATGGATAAACTGTGAACGAATAACATGTGTTGTTGTTCTTCAGGCTCCAGTCTACCTGCGGGAATACGCCCGAGTGCACTTTACTGGGACCAAGGTTCTTCAGACCAAGGTTAGTGGACAGAGTTCACATTAGATCACAGATTCTGTGGAAAATATATAATAAATCATTAAATAAGATGCTATCAGAGCAGAGGCGTCCCTCTCCATCTTCAAGAAAACTCGTCTCGTCTGAGAGCACTTCCTCTCCTAGCACCTCTAACACCCTAACACGCCTAACTACCACTTACTATGAACTTTTGGTGCACTTCTTTACTTGATCTCCTTGCACTTAATAAATAGATGTAGTAGTTAGTACTTGCTCCAAGATCTCCTACTGCACTGAAGCTTTAGTGATGTCCCTCACTTGTAAGTGGCTTGGGATAAAATCGTCTACCAAATGAGTAAATGTAATGTACAATAAAAATATATACATACATCTAATAAACAATATTCTGCACACTTCACCCAACAACCCTTTGCTTATCAGTTTGTCCTCATTCCCCTCCTTTAAAAAACAAATAGCACACAATATGTTCATTACCTTTCCTTCCTCTGCTCGCAGTCAAATCCAGTTTTTAAAGAAGATAATCTTGCATTAGAAATGCCAAATGTAGTGAACTGAGAAGTAGATTAATGCCCCAAAAATGTTTTTTTTAAAGGAGAGTAGTAATACCTAACACTGATGATGGTGGCAGTTAACAGCCTGACTTGCTCTGTTCGCTCTCTCAGGACGATCTGGAGCTGCTGGCGGCGAGCAGCTCTCCTGCTCAGCGGACTGTGTTGCCCCTAAAGAGGACGGCCGTTCTGGGCCCCAGCTCTCAGGAGCAGTGCCAGTCACCAGCTCAACAGTACACAGAAGAGGCCCTGAAGGAGCTCTTCAGACACGTCCACCACAACATGCCAGACTCCGCCAAGAAGAAGAAACTCGTCCGACAGGTTCACTTCAGGGTCTTCTTACTGTCCTAGAGCTCGGCCGGTTGAGCTGAAAACATAAAGCTTCTTCTGCTTCTCCTCTGCCGCTCCCTTTGTGTGTTTAATATCTAACGATCTAAACTATACGTGGGCTTTTTTTTTCCCTGTGTGCAGTTGGTCAAACAGACGACCTCAGGCACGCCTACCAACGAGCACCGCCAGGGCCCCCCAGCTCCCAGCAAGAAACACCCCCGTTCACGGTCCTTTGGCGGCCTCATCAAGGTACGGAGCTCCATAATGTGGAAAGTCACAAGTCAAAGAAACCAGTTCAAAAGTGGCATCAAATATAATAATATATAAGTTAAATTACTTGTCAAATTAAAATAAACATTTGGTTCCATATTTTCTCCGCTGACCTGATCTTTTATGATTTGTGCTTTCACCCCTGGCGACAGCGCAAAGCTCGTGGGGAGCAGCTGACAGCGGAGCGGCGGGTCAGACACATCTCCCCTGACGCTGTGACCGGAGCCGGAAGAAAACCTGGAAAAGAGAACGTCATCCTTCAAGGGGTATCACTCTTAGATTGAGAAAATCTAATGCACTTAAAATCTTTTGTTTTACACACTACACACTCATTGATCTGCCACAAAAATAGCAATTTTGTCCTGCTATCAAAAATAACAACATTATTTTGTTGTTGTGTTTGTTGCGTGTGTGCAGGTGAACAGTCCATTAACTGGTCCTGTGATGGGGAAGGCCGGGCTGGTCGTCAAAAATCCAGACTTCACTTTTACTGACGGCAAAGCTCTGAGGGTTTCCAAGGTACGACACAGTTTTACCTCAGTTCTTCTCTTGACATCGCAAAAATCACTTTTTTTTTTTTTTGTGCTGCATTTTAATTACTTTTGAATATTCACTATATCCAAATAACGTACGACTTGAAAACAGAATCCACAGTGACATCACAAGTAGATTTGGTAACTTACATTTTGATTTTTAAAATGTCATTTTTCCTCTTCTCTTTTGTTTGACATGTGCTTCTTAATTCCCTTAGTCCACATGGCAAAACAAAGTGAACTACAATAGAAGAGGACATACTCATGATCTATAAAAGTGTCCTAAACACACCAGGGTTCGCTTGGTTCTAATTTGTAATTTGCTAATTTGTTTATATGTTTTGGTGACTTTATAGGTCACATGACACTATGGTTGACTGTCACCTCTGTCGGCGTTCAGATGTAACTGGGAAAATCTTCCATCCATCCACCCCCCCACCCCCCCTCCATAATCTCTCAGCAGGACTCTCCCTCTGTGTCCAGGATGTGTTTCTCTCCTGCTCAGGAGATCTCAGTGTAAAACCCGACACGTCAGACTGGATTTGGTATTAATATTATTAACCCTCATGTTTATCATTGTGTTTTCATTGTAGTGAGTCTGTTATAACTGTGACTAATGTAAAGCAGCTTTAGCTTCAGCCAGAGGAGCCAAACCAAAGTCAGGAACTCTCTGTCCTCTCTGAGTGTTAACAAACTGATGCCAACAGTTGAATAAAATCCTCCATCGCAGCTTTTATGTTAGATGACTTAATATGAGCACGAATAATATAAAGGAAAACAGACTTAGTTCCAATGAGTATATGTTATCTAAAGTTTCCAAAATCCCAGTGATGTTTTACTATGTGCAACTTGGTTTGTTAGTGATTCTGATCTGATTGATTGAAGCAAAAATCAACAACATTAAATCAAAGGGTCCACAGGGTTTACTGCTCTAAGAATATGGTGATGTTTGTAAAGTTATTTTAATTCTAGACCACACAGTGCACTCCACTGTGTTTTTGTGGAGTCACTGCAGTTGTTAAGGTACTTTGGGAGTCAGTCTGAGGGATTTATAGGCAAATGACACATTATATTTATTCATTTTTTTGATCGTTTTATTTTGGAAATCAGATGTGATGAGCGTGGATGTAGAGCTGAGCGATATGACCAATTATGAGAATCACAGTATTATGGATTTTGACAAGTGAAAAACTGACATATTTACAATCACACGTCCGCATTATATGATCTGCTACAAGCACATGTTTTAAAGCTCCTCACACAAGCATTAATACTCATGGTGCGGCGTGGTGCTCTGTTGTTGGGGACGATCGCTCAGCTCTTGCTTTGGTTTGGCTTCACCGGCTCAGAGCTGCGTGTGTTCACTTATCACTTGAACCTTATTTTATTGGCTACTGTATCAGAATCTATGACCACTAGCTAATCTGAGCTTACAGTCTGCTGTAGTGTGTAGAATATGTTTACATGTTGTACCGTGAGTGTGTGAGTGTATGAGTGTATGAGTGTGTGTGTGTTTAAAGTTTTTAGAGTTTGTTCTTATTGGGAACTGTGATGTGGGATAAATTCTAACTCTTTTGGTTGCTGGACGATATTTGGGTGAAAACTTCTTGGTGTTTTGCTGCTGATCCAGAATCAGTGAGCAAATGACTCATCCTGATATGAAACACAGGATTTAATTAATGATCATTTTTACTGCTCTCTTTATGAAACCAGTGACTGTTTGTGAATCTATGGAATATGAAATGTGACATTACCTTTTTTTTTAATTTTTTTTTTACTTCAGCTGGTGATGGAGGTTTCATTCGTCTTAAACAAAAGCGGCTGAGAGATTTGTTATGTTGGTGGTTTAAATGAAAGTTTAAAGGGTGTTTTTGTAAGTATTTACTCTGATGGAAATGAGTGGTAATCAGTTACAGAGAGGTCCTCTCTTCTTAACGTGCGTGCGTGCGTGCGTGTGCGTATCTAAGGGAAAATGTGTTAAGAAGAGGCCATGCTCTTGTTAAAGCACTAGTCAGTAAAATAGCACAGGAGACATCAGACAGTGTCACCTGTTTCTAATTCAGCACAACAGTTTGTCGGTTTTGAACACATCATATACTAACAGCCTGTTACAGCTATTAATGTTGGATTTTAGTGTCTGTCATCCCGAACTATGTAAACGACAGTGACAGGATTTTATTTCGGATTATGTGTGATTAAGGGGGCATTAAGTAATTAAAGTAGTAAATTAAACCTCAGAAGGACTGTGCTGAATATAAACATGTTTCTCCACAAAATAAGCTTCTTCAGTGCGTCTCTGCATCTGTTGCTTAATTAAATACAGTATACATCTACAAAATTGTGATTCAAATACATGAACACCTCACAAAGAATAAGTAAACCAATGCAGTTTCCTATAATTGCTTATATGTAAACATTTGGGTCAGTATTCAGGAAGCACATTTCCTCACACAGGTGCATTGTGGGGTTTTTTTTTGTATTGCAGAAAGTAGAAATGTTACTTAATGCCCCTTTTTAAATGTTTTGTACTGTGTCATTTTGTGCTGTTCTCAGCTCATGGCTTGACTTAACTGATGTCTGCTCAGTTTGTTGCGTACCGAGTACAGATGCACCGCTACCGGTTTCACGTTCCGCAGGGAGGTCAAAGGTCAGCTGCAGGGCCGGTGCCTCGCTCAGTGACACCTCGGCCAGGCTCGGCCACATCGCGCTGAACCCAAACCAGCTCTGTGTTTACTGGTGTTTATAGAATCTGAAAATGATGATAGAGGAATCTCACAGGTTTTTGCTCTTATTGCTAATAAGCAACATGTGGCTCATGCTCATTGATTTATTATTAGTTTTATTAGTAAATTTTCTGAGACCTTATTTGATTTTTTTTTTCTGATGTTATCGGTGCATCCTGTTTTGAAGGTGTTGTGGATGTTGTAATGATGGGTTTGTTGAAAGTGATGAAGGTGTTTGAACGTGACTGTCGGGTGCAGGTGGAAACAAAGAAGAGCTCCTTTTGTTTTAAAATGTATTTTCGTGAAATTTCACAGTTTGTTTTGACTGAATTCATCTCAGCAGAGAAGCAGCCTTTCGTCTCCTCATCCTCTTCAGTTCTCTGCAGCTTCACAAACCACTTTTAAAGCAGAGCTAAATTGGATTTTCTTGTATTTATTTGCTCGTTAGAAAAATGTTTTTTACGTTGGTGGAATTTAGCAACAAGACAAGCAAAATTTAAGGAAAAATTTTTCTTTTTTAAGCTTTTTTTTTATTTTTTTTACTTCTGTTGCTCAAATGAGAGCAGTTACTGAATGATGTGAAATATTGTTTTATATTGGAAACACTAAACGCCCCTGAGAGCCTTGTAATTTTAAGTCTGTCAGTGTTTGCACGTCTGTTTTTTCTTTTTTTTCTCCCTTTTACATAAATGTGAAACATCTGGTTTCTCTGCGGACTGTGCACTGTCTCCGGTGAGTTCGTCTCTAACACTGTGTCTCACCTCTTCTTTGTCGATGTGGGTCAACGAGACGCGGAGGAACGTCAGTTTGACACACCGTTAAAACTTCTGTCTTCTGCACAGTTCCTCCAGTGTTGTGCTGAACTCATCTGTGGCTGGTGCGCCGTGTGGTTTAAACTGTGGTACCCTGTTTGTTTATGTATTTTAGTGTAAAATAAGTTAACCCTGTACATTGAACTCCTTGGCGAATGGTCCGCTTCGGATTAAAACCTTTTTTATGTTTCCTACACACTGCCTGTTGTTATATTTGATTTAACGTCTCGGCTGTTTCCAGTGTATTTTTCTTTTTTCACTAAATGTAATTGTCAGTCAGAAACCATGTACAGTAACAGACTGTCAGGCTTCATGGATGCAGTGCTGGTGTTTGTTCACTAGAGGGGGCTATTGGCCAACAGAGGTGTGCGGCTGGTTGAGCCTGTGTGATGGTAACTATCACTAACACCGAGTTCATAAGCTTCTCCATGACAAACAGATGTGTTGTGTCATTTACCATGAACTGAACTCTTTGTAGTCGGTCTTTACGTCTCACAATAACAATAAGAGTTTTCTTAAATATTGTTTTTCTGTTGTGATGGAGTTTCAGCTTCTGTTTACCACGTTAATTCTTTATGATTGTTGTAGTGGTGTGATACTCATCATACTTTATTGATGCTCACAGAGAAAATCTTTCTGCCCCCCCCCCCCTCCAGGAAGCTCAGAGGTCAGAGGTCAGAGGTCAGGCAGTGAAGTGACTCAGGAGCTGGTAGGGACTCGGCAGGTTTTTTCACACCGTCCTTCTTGACTTCACTGACAGAAGCAGCTTTCAGCCTGTAAATCCTTTAATGTCACCTGTGAACAGGTGAAGTAAATCAACTGTCGGCTCAAACGCTGCGATGACAGGAGGTCGGTTTATGAGCCTGGTGCAGATGAAGGCTGTGCACCGCATTTGGTTTGTATTGTAATCCTCCAAACCTGCTTCTGCTGATGTATTAAAAGAATTCCCGTCTCTGGAGGATGTAGAGCAAAGACACTTAATCAAAGTTTTAGCCTGATGAACTGAATCTTTAACTATAAATATATCAATAAGCTGTAAAAGTGATTTTGATGTGACAGGTTCTTTAATCATTTCCCCTGCAGTTAAACTGCTTTAAGGCTTTTATTCAAGTTCAGTCTGTTGCTTAATCAAACACACAAAGATAAAAGATGAGATTATCTAAGTAAACACTTGGTTCAGTGAGGTTAACGTTGATGTGATAGTTAACGGGATATT